ATAAATGGGCACATACAGAACAAAGTGAAATTAGGTTTGGATTTCCAATTTCCAGTGAAAGGACAGAATTTGGAGTGACCATAAATAATCTTTCCAGAACAGTATTTTCATAATTCAATGCTTGCTTGTGACAAATTGATTATAAGTCCTGAGGGAGATGACTGTTAGTGATGGCAACAGTCAATGAATTACTTAATTGTTGGTGCCCGAAAGGGTTTCCCTAGGGCAGTGGTTCTCAACCTGTGGGTCGCGACCCCTTTGGGGGTCGAACGACCCTTTCACAGGGGTCGCCTAAGACCATCGGAAAACACATATTTTTGATGGTCTTAGGAACCGAGACACCGCTCCTCTATCTGTCTCCAGGCGGGTCCGCCCACATGCAGATACGCCCACATACGAGTACCTGGCTTCAAGACAAAATTTCATTAATTTGTAATTAGAAATAAATATTTCACAATATATTGTTTTTGTGATTAATCACTATGCTTTAATTATGTTCAATTTGTAACAATGAAAATACATCCTGCATATCAGATATTTACATTACGATTCATAACAGTAGCAAAATTACAGTTATAGAGTAGCAACGAAAATAATTTTATGGTTGGGGGTCACCACAACATGAGGAACTGTTATTAGGCGGTCGCGGCATTAGGAAGGTTGAGACCCACTGCTCTAGGGTTTCTCAAGCCTTACGAATCTGGTGCAAGGAAGCGTTGAGGCCTGCCCCTCACTCAGCTGTGCCTTCTTCCTCTCTTAGAGAGGGGCCCAAAGGCTTGAGAAGTAAGTGCTGGGAGAAACTACACACAGGACTACAACAAAGTCAGGGATGGATGGGGTTTGAGCTTTTGTTGAGCTCGTTACCAATGGTTATTTACAGAAGAAACTTCTAGGCTATATTGGAGATTGTTTATGTGATTTTCCTATAAGCTCATTTTGGAAGCATTACTGATTTGTGGATTTTAGTAATGATCGGCAGCAAGTAACAATAAGAATGCTGAGCTCTATTGGGAAGAGAAGGAAGCGGGAGTGGGGAGAGGTAGGGTGGAGCCGTTGGTTGTACTCTGGTCCTGACAAAGCTAAGTGGGAGATGACAGGGGTCAGCTGTGGGCTCCCATCTGCACCAGTGAGGCGTCTCCTTTCTCTGTCCTCAGGTCCCGCTGACCCTGACCCCTGGGGTCCCTCAGGACCTCACCTATTTCGTGACCCCTCCTCCTGCTCCTCCTGTCCCCCATCTCATTCAGAGTCCCATCAGGAACTGTAAACTTCCTAAAAGCCAGGTCCACGGGGACTAATCTCCACTGGAAATGGCCAAGGTGGGACATTCCAAAGAGCTCAAGTCCTTGAAAGTGAATTTCAGTCTTTACCTCCCTCCTCTTGAAAATCATTAAACACAACAGATCTCACTTGTTACCCTTAGAAAAGACTTCTTAACATGGAAACCCTCGCTTCCCCTATTCTTTCTTCCTGCTTTATGTCCACACCCCCCACATTTAATGTAACTTTACTTTGTTGTCTCTCTCTCTTTCTCTTTCCTGCCCTTTCCTTCTCTCTCTCTCTCTCTCTCTCTCTCTCTCTCTCTCTCTCTCTCTCTCTCTCTCTCTCTCTCTCTCTCTCTCTCTCTTTCTCTCTCTCTCTCTCTCTCTTTCTCTCTCTAGACCACCTACCTTTTTCTTTTTTCATTTGCAGGTATTTTTTTCTCCTGAATACATAAATAATTCGTTCTTTATCATTGGAATTCAAAAACTTAACCTGACTACACCTAGTGCTCATTTATTCTGAATCAATATTGTTCAAACGTGGTGTGCTTTCAAATTTTCCGACTCATTTCTTCCTTTATTTTAGGGAAGTCATTCCTGGTACATTTGCCTGTCCTTGCTCAGGCCACCAAATTTTATTAGAGATAATTTATGACCCTAAATAATTTTTTTAGCCTGATATATATTTAATCATTCTGAATTAGCTTGTTGCATCTTAAAGCATTTTCTTTCAAATCAAGTCACAGCTGTGCTGCCTACGAGTTAGGAAATCATACCAGCAACTACCGAAAGGAAGAGTGAACATGTCTGATAAGCTCACACTGGATAACAGATTTCATATCTGCATCACCAACACCCAGGAGCCAATCACAATGCCACTGCCTAACCAGAGAGAGCAGCAAGGTGCATCCCTTAGAGAGACATCCTAGGTCAAGAAAACCATTATTTCATCTACAACAGCACTGCTTGAATATGGTCCAGAAATGCAGTGTTATGTTCCTGGGAGCCTCTCAGAAATACCAACTCTGCACTGAATCAGGATCTCATGGGGTGGGGCTTGGGAACCTGAATGTCCACATGTCTTCCAGGTGAGTTTTATCCATGCTCAAGTTGAACAAACAATGGTCTAAAATAGTACTCTAGAAATTACAAAGGTTTGAATTAAGGGAATAGATAGTTATGGAAAAAGAAATGATTAGCAGAGGTGGCAGACGGTTCATAGTGCCTGAATATGAGCAAGAAAGAGAACATGGGAGAAGCATCAGAGCTGGGCAATAAAGACATTCATTCAATTACAGACACACTGGAATTGAAACTTGCAAAATAAGAGATCTCCTCCTAATAGTATTAATCAGTGTCATCAGAGATAAATGAGAAGTACCAGAGCTTGGTTGAGGCATGAAATATGGAATTTATACAGGCCGAGTTAGTTAGAATTATCAAGCCAGTCTAAGCAAAATTAAATACCATCTGTGGTATTTCCAGCTACCAGTAGAACTCTTAGCTGTAACCCTGAGTAACTGAATGTGGTCCGGAGCAGGCCTCTCTTCAGGACACCATGTATCCATGGTCATTTCCCTGCTGGAAGGGACCTCACCCACTACAAACTCCTCCCCGTGAGCTTAACCATCACCCTGACCAATGAGCCATGGAAACTCCAGAAGAGTTCTCTGCATGGCATTTCCCCCCATGTCCCAACCTGTGACTTGAGTTAGTCACATCTTCATGTATGCCATGATTCAATTTGTACATAAGCAGAAGCATAAAACAAAAGCAAAAAATCAAGTGTGTCGAACAACGTGAATCTCTGTGACACATATTTGCGGAATGGCATGTGTGTATCATTATCGGCATCAGAAATGCAAACCTGGAGACAGGCTCAGGCGGCCTGAGCAAGTTCCCTCCTATACTGTGGGAGGGGCTTGGGCTAGGGGATAGGCGGATGGAGATCAATCAAAACAGACTTGGGCATGCAAGTTTCTTCAAGGCTGTACTGTTTAAAAAGCCATGGATGTTGACTGCAATTTTTTTCTCAGATCTATAATTTATCTAAGTTGGTCTATTTTGAGTTGATTTAGATTCTGTTCAAACATATCATTTGTGTCCTTCCCAAATTTCATGTTGAAGTCCTAATCTTCAAAGCAATGGTATTTGGAGGTGGCGCCTTAGCGAGGTAATTAGGGCATGAGGGTGGAGCCCTTGTGAATGGGATTAGTGCCCTTATAAGGAGAGACAGGAGAGAGCCGGTCTCTGTCTCCACCACGCGAGGACACAGCAAGAAGGTGGCCATCTATAAACCAGGAAGATGGCTTTTACCAGGAAACAAATGGAATGGCACCTTGATCTTGGACTTCCAGCCTTCAGAGCTAAGAAACAGATTTCTGTTGTGTAAGCCACTGTGTCCATGGTATTTTGTTATAGCAGCCTGAGCTGAGATACTCCTCAAAACTAAAGTAGAAGGAGACTGCCATTGGAGCCACCAGGAGCTCACAGCGGGAGCCAGCATCACCTTGTTGGGCTTGGTTGTGGGACAGGTCAGGACCTTCAGGGCGAGGCCTCAGACTGCTCTGCACTGACCCACCCCCCAGGCCTGCTCAGGGCGAGCCGCATCTCCCCTTCCTCACCTCCCTTCCCGTATTGATGAGGAACTCAACAGCCCCCTAGAATCCCATGCTCTACTCTCTGTGGCATCAACCAGAGCATTTATAAAAAAAACAGTAGAAAGCCTTCTGGGAAAGTCCCATTCATTCATTCCACAACCTACCAAGTGCCACGCATTCTGTGGGACATTCAGGATAAAAATGGCAGAAAAAGAGACGGCTCCTTCCTATGCTCCAGTGAGCAACAGACGCTGCCATGGGATGGTAATTCTATCTTCTCTTAAAACAAACAACACACTTGACCTCCCATCCACTTAGGCTGCCATATCAATCCTCTACCAGCCTTCACTGAATAGCTTCTGGAAGCCTCACTCATATAGTTATTTCCACCGAACTTCCTCCATTGTCCCTCCCTGTCCTCCCTGGTCCTCCCTCAGACTGATTGTCAGAGGCACCAGTGGCTCCTTTGGAGATCTGATGGTCACACCTCTGCCCTAACTTTACCTGACCACATGGGGGCGCCGTCCACAGCTGACCACGCCTGCGTCTCTCACCTTCCGGTTCCCTCCTTATGCAAGGCCAGCACTTTCTTCTCAGTCAGCTCTTGGCTTGAATGTCACCTCCTGGGAGAAGCCAACCTTCACGAGCAAGTACGGGAGCCTCGCTGGCTCTCGCCACCACATCCCTTTACTCACATCCACTGCATACGCTTGTCATCAGCTCGCCAGTGTTTCCCTTAGTGGTTGGCTTATTACGTGATGTCCCCATTAGGGTGGAAGCGTCTAGGGTGATAGTTCACCCAGCAGTGTCCTCTAACAAATTCCATTGTCTTAAGTAATCCAAATTAAACATGGAAGAAAAGACTTACTTTATGAGAAGTTTAGGAACAACCGTTAAGAAGTCAGACATTGTCTTTCCAATTAAAATTATGATGAATGTACTTAAAAATAGGAGTGCAACAGAGATTTCCCACAAGCAGCACAGAGGATGAGGAAGGAAGATAAGGGAGCATTGTGCTTTGCTGCTTGTGAGGAAAGCAGACAGACCCAAAGCTTGACATTGAAATTGCATGCTCGGAATGCATTCAGAACAGGAAATCAGGAGACGGTAGAACACGCCGCTGAGCGGGGCCAGCTCCTACCTGTGGCCAAGTAGATGATGTGGATGAGCGCGTCCCTGGCCTGCACCACATCCACGGCCACGTGGGAAAAGCGGCTGTTGTCCTCCATGAAGGCCGGCACTGCGGTCACCGGCTGCACCACCTCGTGCATCAGGAGGAACTTCTGGGCGTCCTGCAGGTTCCTCTCTGTCAGGTTCACGTACAGGCCCTGGTCCACCGTGCCGCACTGCAAGGGAAAGCAGGCTGTGACTGGGCCAGACGCCCCGCGAGATGCTGGTTTGTCACCTGGGTCGCTGCCGTGTGCACATGCGCCTGCTTCTCCTGTTTCCCCAAAGGCTCATCCGTGGAGCCCCTCCCAATTTAGATCTGAACTTACACTTGGGGTGTCTCCCAACTCCATCATAAATGGGCGATCAGGAGTGAAAAACATACAGTATGAAAGTCTTTGCTGACTTTAATTTGAATGGTGTTTGCATAAAAACTCCTCAGCCTCTGCTGAGTCACTTGGGAGCTGTGTGTCTAAGTGCATATTATTACGTCCGTCTGATAAGTCAGGTACCCAGATTGAAGATGCAGCAATCAAACACATCACATAGATTTATTAGTTTTCCTACTGGAGCTGTGGGTCTATAAGCAAGATATGGATTCCACGGAGAGAGAATGAGGTCATTTTAATCTGCAAATTACATAATATTGTTCTAATATCATTCTCATGGGCTGCAGAAACAATGTGCTGCCCTCACTGCTGTGTGCTCATATTCCAAGCTAGAAAAAACAAAAATTTTCTTTACAATTTAGTAATAGAAATAACATGGCAATTTTGCAAAAAGAAGGGAAAAGGAGATAAAAGGAGGGAGGCAGATAGGGGAGAGAAGAGTGTAAAGAAAGAAAGTAGAAGGAAGAAGGAAGGAAGGAAAGAGATTTTTAGATTGGGGAAATACAAGAAGATGAATCTGAGATACATAGGGAAAAAAATCGGCCCGGAATTTGCTGAGAATTGATTTCCGAGCTGTGTTGTGAAGAAGCTGGGAGGTGTGACAGACGTTGGTTTTTGGCAAGGATGAGATAAAAAGAGGGTAGAAAAGAACAAAGCTTTCCTGGGGCAGAGCACAGAACCAGAAAATTACCACCAACCTTCTTCATTTTTTTCATAAACTTTAAATCCTGGAACCAATATAGGCTGATCCTCAGCAGAACTTCATGTAAGTAGGTTTGATGGAAAAGAATTTCCCTGTCCATACACTCCGAAACCACTATTTATAACACGTCATTTCTAATACTTGGTTTTAGAACAGGTGAGTGGTGCAAAGTGTAAGATGAAAATTGCTTTTTTAAAACAGATGGTATTTTTGCAGCCCTTGATAAAATGCCCTACGTGCCATAAAATGATAGGCCAGTTGTAGAATTAGAGAGTCTTGGGCTGAAATGGATTTTGAGTCTGGTCCAATGCATAGCTGAATGTCACATCCTTGCAGGGCAGCCCATGTGCCTGGCGACGGGACCACATGACATGTGGTCAGGTGAGGGGCTCAGCTCAGTCACCCAGGAGCAGAGTGGTCTCAGGGGAGGCACTGCTTGTCAGCCTCTGTCTCTGCAACAGAGTGAAATGCTGGCTCTCCCTGACTCTAAATCCTAGCCTGTATTTTCCCAGTGGCCTTCAGGCTAAGAGCTCCTGCTATAGATATGCTAATTATTAGAGAAAATTCTGCTTGAGGCTTGAGTTTTGGGAAGAAAAGCCCCTTGTTAGAAGGTGCGTCTCCCAAAGAGGTAAGGAAATATGTACAAAATAATGACTTCATCAAAGACTTGCAGGAACCTCAAGACCGGACTCAGATGAGCAGGGGTCAACTGACCTACAAAGAGGTTTCAAGATGCAGAGCTTTCCCTTGGATCACTGTTGGTGCCCAGATGTGCGTGGTTGTCAGTCACCTCTTGCCATTCCTCTTCTCCCTTCCCTTGGCATAAAAGAAGCCTGAATTCTCTCTTAATATGGATTTGATGGACCTTGAAGGCCCCCATCTTCTCGACTGGGCACCTTCTTCATCGATAAACATTCCCTTACTCCAAACTCTGATATCTTGAGTATTGGCCATTTGAAGTGTGGAGCACAAGAAGTTTTGGACCGGTAAGGTAACATCACTGCCTATACAGTGACTAGAAAAAACACTTACTCTGCTCACTTCTCAGGGCTGTGTGGGACCCACTGAGATAACCAGTGGAGAGCATTTATAAATTAATTGCAAGTGCTTGTAAACGACAAGGCACGAGACAGCGTGCCTGGCACAGAGAAGCCATTCGACCATGGCAAGTGGTCAATGCACTCATTGAGTAGCAGGACAGCAATTCTATGGTTCATTGAGCTGTGGTGGCCAGAGGAAAATGAATGAATAAATAAAAGAAGGAAGGAATCAATGGGTGAATACACTAGCAGTTGCTGTTTGAGCAGGAGGCTGTTCTAGAAGGTTTTACATAATTATTCTATTTAATAGTAAATCTTGGAGGACTGGGACATTGCGTGCAAGCCAATGTGTTACAAAGGGAAGGAGAGCTCTACAGGGCTTGGTCTGAAGTCTATACACCTGAGTTCTAATTCTGAGAATGACTTGGTGTTTGGCAATTTACTCTTCTTGGAATCAAAGGCCATACATAGGTACAGGTGGCAAGTAGCTATCTGTCTGCTGGGTGAGGGTTTGCACACAGGTTTTGTTTTGTACACACAGTTTTTTTGTTTGACTGACATAAAAAAAACCTGGAGGCATAAAGTTGAGAACCTCTCACTGTTGAGGAACCTGGAGAGCTGGGAGACCCGGAGGCCTCAATGGGCTGGGGCTGCATCGCAGGACCAATGACCATCCGTTTCTACTCCTAGACCCCATGTCTTATTTAAGTCATAAACCTGTGATATTGTGATTTATAATAAGAAATGCACCTTTCATCTTCTTTCCAGTTTCTGGCACAGAGCTCCTAACAATTTTGGAATTTCCTAAGTGATGACAGGGATAAAGGTGTTTTTTGTTATGTTAACGAGGTGACTTTTGGAAAGCACCTAAGGATGGGGGCTGGTTGCCCAAGGAACCAGTCATGTGATTATGGGGCTGGAACTTTTCATCTCACTGCCCTCTGAGGAGGGGAGGGCTGGAGTTTGATTTCAATCACCAATGGCCAACGATTTAATCAATCAAACCTATGCAATGAAACCTCCATAAAAACCCAAGCTGACAGAGGTTCGGAGAGTTTCAGAAAACTTCTGGGTTGGAGAACACGTGGAGGTGCAGGGAGAGTGCCGTGCTTGGAGAGAGCATGGAAGCTCCTCACCCTTTCCCCTCACCTTGTCCTATACATCTCTTTTATCAGGCTGTTCCTGAGTTATGTCCTCTCATAATAAACTGGTAATCTAATAAGTAAAATGTTTCATGGAGTTCAGCGAGCCACTGGAGCAAATTAATAGAACTCAAGGAGGGGATGGCTGTAACCTCCTATCTATAGCGTCTAGAGCAGATTGGTCAGAAGCAAGGTTGAAACCCTGGCCTTGAGATTGTCACCTAAAGAAGGGGAGGGGGAGGCTTTAACCTGTGGGATCTAATTCTATCTGCAGGTAAGTGATGTCAGAATGGAGTTGAATTGTAGGGCACCCTGATGGTACTGGAATATAGCTTGGAGGTATGGGAAAAACTCCCACACACTGGAATTGGCCAAAATCATGAGCCAGAAACTGGTTTGGAACTATACTCTACAAAGTCTTGGACTCTTTTCCCAGCCTATAATGAATATCCCACCCAAGGGTTCTTTTTCAAATATTTTGAAAGCTATTTGAATTTTTCAGAACATATTTATTAGATCATATGTCACCCACCTAGCTCTCTAGTGAGCTGCAAATTCTCTAGCTGTGCCTTATATACTGGGCTCCCCCAGTGTCTGTGTGAAACCCTGGAGACTCTGTACAAGAGGAAAACAATAAAAGTAGTAAAAGTTATTGTCCTCATGTGGCTTACAACCCACAATGGTTGTCTTGTTAACATCTCTGAAGGGAATAAGGTCAACAGTTTTTTGTTATTTACTTTAAGTACAACAGATCTATATTCATCCTAACTCACAGGTGCTTGGATGTCAAGTCCACAATTACCTAACCTCATGCTGAGGATGCTTGATTTTCATGGTACCCTTCCTCCTGTCTTCCTGCAAACATGCATTATGTATCAAAGTGTCCTGATGACATGGTTAAGTCCCCTTATATGGTCCTCCAGCAAAGGCTGCCTCATCTGCCTGACCATTGTTGAGGGTCTCTTTCCCATTTCAGCGCCATCATTTGTGATGGGTGGTAATCAAACCTGAAAAATAATTGCATGGTCTGTCCCACCCCAGCTGTGCTACTGGGTCTGAGTGATGTTTTCTGGTAGTGCCTGATGCTTTTCTTAGAGAGGCCTAGAGTCTGGATGACTGTGGGGGCTGCAGCCTCTAGCAGGGCTGGATTCTACAGCACCATCTGCAGTGGTTTCTAGATGGCTACTGATATATAGGGGTTGTTGTTTTATTATTGTTTTCAGTTGAGATGTCTGTATTAAATCTTGAAAGATTATGCAGTGTCCTCCTAATCCATTTTTCTTCCTGACCCTCAGTCATGCCTCTGCTCCTTTAATTAATTAGCTACTTCTAGTACATAAGTGCTGCATAAAATCCCAAATGTCAGTACGCACACAAGACTAAAACAATCTAATCACTTCTCACTGTTGATTATTGCAAACAAAGGCCCTTTATGCATGACTAGTGGAGGAATCCTTAGTTCAGCCATATTCCCACTCTGTGCCAGTCTAGATGGTCCCATGAATGTCAGGAAGGATGCTATGCTCGCATGGTCATCAAACATGGTAAGCCCAAAGAAAACACTCGGTACACATTTGTACTAGGAGTTGTACAAAGAATCATCAGAGTCTCTAACTTCAGTTCCCCACAAATCTTACATTCTACCCAAAGAAGGCAAGCTCAGCAAAATGAGCCTTCTGACTGACGTCAGAGCCACATTTCTACACACTTCATTTATTATACCGCATGGACCTACTCCCACCTCATCAATGTGAGTAAACCTTTCAGTGTGACACTGGCATTTTAAAACCAGATGCCCATGGCCTTAAGAAATAGGGAATTTGCTGTGTGCTACAAATATATCCAAGCCCAGGGGCTAGAAGTTATCCACTGCCTGGGGGTGGGAAGGTGTCACAGAGTGTTGTAAGTCACTGTTCATTGTGAAGACTTCTGCGGTAGAAGTGTCACAACATGAAAAGTACACTACAAATTTATGGGGCATCTTTGTTAATTTTTTTTTAAACTTTGGGATTTTACACTGGACTTTCTTAAAAGGGAATGGTATATTTCACCTTCAGGATTTTACAAAGCGTCTTTTTTTTTTTTTTTTTTTACAAAGCGTCTTTTTAAACAGTCACGTTTCACCCCATCATCTGGGAACAAGGGTGAAATTTAGGTGCAGAGACTCGATGAAGGGGCCAAGAGTCAGTGTTCAGTCAATAAATATGTAAACCATCAACCCACATGTCATCAGGAAGTGTGACTACTGCATATGCAGTTCCCACTGAAATGTAAGCTCGCCTGACTCAGAACAGGACTGTCTCTCTCCATTACTGGGCTTCCTTATTAGCAAGCCTGGGATCATAAATATAAATCTGATCACTCGGTTTCCTAATTTATCAGGTGTGGCTAATGATGCTCATGTTACAGACTTGCTGAGAGGAGGAAAGATGACAAAGTACATAAGGCATTTACAACGTGATACCCAGATGGCACCCAGTAACTGTTCCCTCAGAGACACCCCCGTCATGTACGTTAAACAGTAAACAATGCACATTAATTGACATTATCAAAATGTATTCCTAAAATATCCCTGTGCATGTGTATCCCTCCTTCCTCATGGTGCTGATGAAAATGTGAGTGTGATGCTAAATAATGTACCTATAAAGCAGAAAATGGTAACAGAGGGTATGTAAACCACCCACCTTAGTCCCAACCCCATGCTCTTTAAGAAAACACAAAGAACTCTTTCAGAACAATTAGAATTGAAGGGTCTCTGCCCAAGTCCAAGTACAGTATAAAACAATTGAACCTTTCCATACCCTCAGTTTTCTCAAAAGCCAAGGTTTATATGGGTTTGGATGACAAACCAACCAGAATTTGGAGACCTGGACACAGGACCCAGGTCAGGCGCTGATTCATTAGGGTAGCTAATTAGTTAGGGTCCTTTAGTTGGAAGAGGTTGGAGCTTTGCATCTGAGGACCAGTGTTGGGATTCCCGCTCAGCCACCGATCCTGAGTCCTTGGCCAGATCATCTGCCCTGAGGCTCAGCGCCCTTCTCTGTGTGGGGGAGAAGTGCAATGATCATAACACTGTTGCCAGCACGTAACATGATGCATGAGCCACTGAGCACCATTGTCTAGAACTGTGTGGTGCTAAACCTTACATCCACAGGGAGAATGGTGATATCATGAAAGCTCTTGTCAGAAGAGAGGCCATCAAGGGAAGCCTGCTATTATGGACTGAAGGTTTGTATCTCCCCCAAATTCTTATGTTGCAGCCCTAATCCTCAATGTGGCTGCATTTGGAGGTGGAGCCTCCAAGGAAGTAATTAAGATTAAATGAGGCCACCACATGTACTAAAGAATGGCCACGTGAGGACACAGCAAGAAGGTAGCCATCTACAAGCCAGACACAGAGCCCTCACCACAAACAGAATCAGCCAGCACTTTGATCATGGACTTCCAGCCTCCAGAACTGTGAGAAAATACATTTCTTTTGTTTAAGCCCTCCAGTCTGTGGCACTGTGTTATGGCGGCCAAACAGACTCATACACCCGCTGACTGACCGAACATGGGTAAGTCGCTGAATCTCACTGCGTCTCAACTTCCTCTGCATGTTGGGAGATGGAAGTAAGTGACGTACAGAGCCCTTTAGAGTTTGAACATCTATAATTTTGGGTTTTATGAATGAATGGCCTCCATCTGCGCTTTTTCCCTCTCAGCTGCCCATCACATCCCATTTACCCCATTAGGAAATCTCGCCACAGTCGCCAATTAGAGCTCTGATTCTGTTTGTGTGTCTTCACGGCTCTGTGCCCCGGGCCCCATTCATCACAGCATCATTCATTAGGGATTAGAGCTTTTGGGGACACAGAACCCACCATCATTAGTACTAACTGAAGCTTGGATGCCCAACCTGCTGCATTATGCTAGCCTTTCTCAGTCTAGCCTCAGGCGTCACAGCTGACAAAAGGCCCTTTTTGGTCCAGGCCCCTCAGCTGACAAAAGGATTGTCTATTCACATGAGCCAAGCCAAGTGTGGGGCTGTCCCACAAGAGGTCGTGAGAGCTCACAGCTGCCTGTGCAGGGGCCAGGCACCGGGGTTTGAGTGGTCCCGGCCTTACTCCAAGAGGCTTCTGCATCGTTCTGGGGGGATGACTGAGAGTAGTGCCCCTTCGCCCCCTGAAATTACCTGGAAGTTGGGGTTGGGGTTGGGATACGGCAGCCAGGCAGAGCGGGAGTTCTCCTGGTACTTGAAGGGGCCATTGAAGGCCTGCGAGATGGCGCTCAGGTTGAAGACACACACAGCAGAGGCTGCGATGCTGTTCCTGGGGAGGCAACGAAGAGGAAGAGGAGGGTGAGAAGGCCCCACAGTAACCGCCATCCTCCCCACAGCCCCTGGGACACCGCCCAGAGCCAGCACCTTCCAGAGACACTCAAGATCACAGCCTCCTGAATGACCCAGGGACGAAGTGGGGGTGGTGAATGGTTTCTTCGTGGAGGAACAAACGCTTCAGTACAGAAACAAGGATATTTAGCAGTTATGACACTTGTAATCCTCCTGCAGGGGATTAATTCACTCAGCCACAACCAAAGTGACAAAGGATTTGGAAGAGCTGTGTGTTACACCGTTTAAATTCTGGAGGAAAAAGGCTTCCTCGTCCAGGGGCTGGGGCCTCTCACCACTCAGCCCAGCACAGCTCCCGCCCTGACCGCTTATCTGGCTCCTTCAGGGGGCTTCTTTTTAAATCCACAGAGATGTGTGCTTATTTGTTTGTAAACCTTTTAAAAAATAATCAACTAAAGGCAATTTGCAAAAAGTGCCTGTCAGAAAAATGTGAGATCGCACTGACTTGTAGGAAATCTTGCTGCTGTGGTTTGGAATTCAAGTTCTAAGTGATGGGCTCAGAAGTTCAGTGCCCTTTTACTAAGTGTGCAAAGAGCAAAAGACTTTTTGGGTTAAATAAATCTGCTTTTTGAGCACAGCTCTGGTTTTAAATTTTCATGATATTGCTCTTAGCAAATATAAGTCCATTCATCAAGTGTTTTTCCTGAATCAAAGGAGACTTCATAGGACTCCTAAACAGAAATATCTGCCTTACACTTGGTTTATCTGATGAATACTGGCTGCGTGCTGAACATCATTCTAGAGGCTTTACAAATTCCAATTCACTCAATCTCCGTAAGGTAAGGGGCAGTCACTAATAAGGAAAAGTTCACTGCATTCACTCACTCAGAACCAGGCTGGGCCAGTGTCTGGTGTCAGCCCAGAGTCCACCGGGATGTCCAGAGGCAGCCAGTGTGAGCATCCCTGATAGGTGTTTGGGGACACTTCTGCCCAACTCCTGGTGAGCAGAGTACCCCCCACACACACACACACACACACTTCTGCCTTCCCTCTGCCCTTTCATTTGCTGTGATCTGAGAGGTGTGGAGATTAAGGGCACAAGTGACTCCATTGTAGACCTTCCTCACCCTCCTCCTGGGATGGCTCTGCCTGTCAGAATTACATCCCCTCCTACACCTACCCATCCCTGCAGGCAGGTGAGGCCAGCCCAGGTCATGACCTTGTGGCTAAGTCTCTTTAAACCTGGGGTCAGTACTCATAAATCCATTTGGTGAACAGACCTCCTACTGTGTGTCACCACCAGGCCTTCGTCAGTCATCAGGGTCATACTGTGGCTTTCATTTAATGTTCCATGTTATTTCTGAACTTGTTCAGAGCCCAGGTGGGTAAAAGTGGAGGTAGAACTCTTGGTGAGCCCAACAATAGGGGAACTTAAAGTGTGCTTCCTTAGTCTACTGAGTCATGGGGAGAAAGGGAGAGACATTCTCCTAGCTCTTCATATCCTAAGGAGGGAAGATAAATCAAAACCTTCATCCTTCCCCACTCCCACCCTTACCATCTATGGGGTGGTACTATCTGTGAGCCACCATTTTCACATATCCCATAAAACAAAGGCTAAACCTTTAGGGACTCTTGGCAGGAGTGTGCCAGGTCCTGCAGCCCCTCTCATGTCCGTGGGGTTGAGAAAACCACACAGTCCCAGGAACAAATGGAGTTAGAACAGCAACCTTACCGCCATTCCCCAGTGCTGAGAGACCTTGAGGGATACACAGAGGCAACCCAAAACTGTGAGCAAACGTACCAGAAAGCCAGCCATAGCATTTTATGGGCATCTCATTCAGAGATACGAAATAACTGACTATCTCTGATTGCCATTTCCGTTCAGTTTTGAACAAGTCTTGTCAAGAATATGGTCATCTGTTGACAGGGTAAGATCAAGGCTGAGACAGGAGAGGGATGAGAGGTGGGACATACTGTGGGATCAGAGATGGACATATCTCCACTTTTGTTTCCCAGATCCAGGGAGAATAGTATTTGAGGGAGAAAGGGAAGGTTGAGAGATTTTGCCTCTGCTAGTATAGATGCTACATGTTGGATGACTTCCCACAAGACGGGTGTTTACATCACAAAACAAATAGTCTAGAATGGTCTGAAACTTATTTTTGCGAGTATCCAAATTGACCATTCACCATCTTGGGATGGTGCAGACACAGTAGTTATATCACTTTTAAAATTGGTCATTTTTGCCCAGAGCCAGCGGGATGAACAACTCAGGAAGCCAAGCTCCCATTGTGGGCAAAACTGATGTCCACTGACCCATGAAACATTCATCTTGTGTGTCCTACACTGCTTCTTAAACAAGGTTTTGGGAAGCAAATCAACTTCAGAAACTATGCATTGATTTTTTTTTTTAAAGAAACTTATCAAGTACAGAAAATAACCTCTGGGGTTGAAAACCAGACTTCCAATAAAGATGGTCATGGTGGGGTGGGGGGCGGATGGGGAGCCATCCATTTTAGTCTTATTTTTTCCAACTTCATGTCAGAAAGAAGACTCTTCATGGAGTAAATGTTATTATCAAGCAAAAGTTAACACATGAGCTCAGAAGTGCAAAGATCAGGAGGAAAATGTGAGACGTTTCCCAACATGCAGGGCGGTCCCCACGGCTAAGCCTGGGACAATCCCAGACAAACCAGGATGGTTGATCATCCTCGCTCATTTATCAGCACTTTCAACCTACACTGATTTAGACCCCTTACTGTGGATGCAAATATTGGACTTTTGTCCCAACTGGCAGGTCCCCAGATTAGAGATTTCCAAGGTGATTCAAATCAGAACCTACCCTGCAGAATTTTCATGATCACTGACAATGCTGAGGAAAGTGGAGCTCAGAGTCTCAGAGTTGCGATTCAATTTGTGACTCCTGGGGCTGGGGTGTGATCTTGTGGAGTCCTATCACAGCACACTGGCTAAGAATGGAAAGTGAGTGGGGTTGTGCTACATTCCACCAGATCAGCGTGAGTGAAAGGTCAGAAAACTTCACATGCTTTACCTAGTCCAATGCTGTCAATTCTGAAGCTAGGAGTATCTCCTCTCAAGAGAAAAAAAATGCTATTATTTTTTCAAAAGTATTTTAAAAGCATAGCCATCATTTTAGAAATGCCTGCTACCTTAGCGGTCCTGCAGCACAATGGCTTACAAAGCAGCTGTGGAAAATGGGCATGTGGGTTTCATTTACGAGTGGGGGTTTGGGCAAGAGTCACATTATCTCAAAGATCAGGCTTTCCAGACAACACTGCTCTCATTACACACAAATGTATGTAAAAAAATAAATAAATCTAATAATGTTCTAGCATTTCTGGATACCCTGGCAAATCAGGAAGGAAAAATTCACAGTAGAATAATTAGATGATTAAAATCTTTTGATTAGCTTTCTTTTCCTAATACCAGTCTCAGAAATCATAGATCTTTGTGTAACATTTAATCATACTCAAAAAAAAAAGGAAAAAAAAGAAAAGAAAAAGAAAAAAGAAATAGAAACAGAAAAAAAAATGGATGTTAGCCCAGTAAAATAAGAAAGATTTCTTTTAAACCACAAAGGTCAAAAAACAGTAGGCTCATTGAGAAGGCGTAGGATAGCAGGGGAGGCAATTACTTCCAGCTACGTACACGTTGGTGGTAAAGATGCCGTAGATCAAATCCAGCTCAGGCAGGAAGAACGTGCCCTGAAGTTCATTGTAGTAAAAGGGGACCTCGCCGGGGCGGGAGCAGTTCAGGCGGGCTTTCATGAACGTGGTCCAGGTGTCCTCCAGCAGGAAGCGCCCCCCAATGTCATTCTTGCAGACCCGGGCAGCTCTGGAGAACACGGTTTTCCCACAGTCGTGCTCCACGGCATTTTCTCGGAAAAAGAAGTAGGTGAAATTCCCGATGTCATAAGATGACACGAAGTTTGGTTCTGGAAACAACAGGAAAGGAGAGTCTCAACATCTGTATGATATTTCTGTATGTCTTGCCTGCTCAGTATCTCTTCCAAGGAGACTTGGTTGTGTGCAGACGTCTTATAGGGTGACTGGAAGGCCCTGTGAGCATGTAATGATTTGTGCTACTGGGTGGAACTCGGCACACAAATTCTAAATGGCAGGAAATCGCTGGCATAATTCCACAGGTGAGCAGTCTGACTTAATGCAACATCAAGTTAACATGACATCAATACCATAAAAAACGGGCAGCAAAGATTTGCAGTATTTTTTAAGGCAATACCTATTTATTACTTTATTTGTATAGTCCTACATAACCTTCAGAGAGAGAGAGAAAGAAAATAAGATTAAAAGGATGAACTGTGCTTCAGAATATAGGAGTGTAGTATTGTATCATTTGTATACCAGACAACAAAATTCTTTCATTTTACTTACATACTTATGTATGACTTATACAATGTATGTGCTTTTATTAAGGACTTTAAAATGTTTTTCGTTTGTGAAAACAGAAACAAAATTGAAACTGTGAGGCTAGTGTCCTGAATTAGCTTCAGCAATTCCCGTTACTATGGTGACCACACAACTGAGGATTAACCCTTTCCTTTTTTCTGGGTTTCCAGGGAATCCATGTAGAAAAAGGAAGTATACTGAGATTGAGTTACTGACCTGCACATTTTTGGTCACATAATTAGCTTAAACATAGAGATTTAGAAACGACAAAAGTATGGTAAAACCTTTACTTAGTCACCAAACTCATAGGAAATCTATGAATTATGTAGACTGGCAGCTGAATTTTATATACATCATTGGAAGTGTTATCTTCGTCACTTCCTGTTTGAGCCCATCAATAATAGAGTGGATGCCCTTTCAGACACAGATATGCCCTAATATTTATCTTTAAAAACTCTAATAAACAGGTTTGATTCTTTCTCTTTTTTCTATTGCTAAGAGTTTTTCATTCTATCAGCAAGGGTCTGAATTTTATGGTGCAATTAGGATAATGTGGCAATAGCCTTTGGTGTTCAAAATTAATGGGAAGATACACACAACAATTATATGCACAACAACACATTTCAGGGATGATTAGTTTTTGGGGGCAATTCAACTGGCCTTGTACTTTGCCAGATCCAATCAGATGGCACCAATAGACATGTTATTGGCAGAACAACTAAAAATATGTTTGACTACAAGATGGCTCATTCATGTTTAGAGTGAGACACACAACAGGCTGACCTAAGGTCTGAAATGTAGACATTGATGTAGAGGCCGACACGAAGGTGGCACTGAGTATTCCACTATTCGGCCCAGAAAGACCGTTGCTAGATTTTAATTGATATAGACACATATTTTATATATATATATATATATATATATATATATATATATATATATTCAATGTCATTACAAAATGTTTCAATTTAATTTAACTTCACATTCTAAAAATGTAACAAATATTCTAAATTGTGCACATGGTGAGCTTTTCTCTTCAGTCCATTATATTGTTCTTAAGTCAATATCAAGTAATACAAAGAGAATTCAGTAAAAAAATGGTTTTAATTTAAAAACTGCCAAACATACTATTAGATCACTGCTGCTTTAACCTGAAATGGATATTTATAAAACCAAACTCTGGATTGCATTAAAACGCCTGAGATGGAAAGTAGATATATTTACTGTTGCAGGATGCTTCAATATTCTGGAGAGAGGCTCATAGAACAGGGGACTGCATGTCTCTAATTTGTAGGTTTTGGAACATAAGATGAAATATTGGGGGGATTTTTGTATCTGTGTTTACCATGAGGCTCCAAAAGAGAAACGCTTCCTGTCACATACCCCAAAAACCAAGATATGGAAGAAGTTCAAAACTATATTTGCTTTCTGAAGAATATATTCATCTGTATATCTAATTCTAAAGAGAAGACCCAATCATTTAGACTAGGCCTTGCACCCAAATTCATAAACCAGGCTACAGTTTGATCATTGCACTGAAAACAAACAAACAAAATAACCACCATTGGCAGTAATAACAACAAACTACCTTATATTCAATGGAGAAAATAAAGAGAGAATTGCAGGGCTAGGTGTGTCTTGCCCGGGACCGGGGTTCCCAGCACATGTGGATGAGGTGTGAGGCAAGGTGTGAGTCCACCAGATTTATCAAACACCCTCCCTGCTGCCTACTTCTGCTACTAACTTGGGGACACACAGCATGAAAACCACATGGTAAATATCTCTGGTGTGTAGGAAGTCTTGAGCAGGAAAATGAGAAGCTACAAAGGTACAAAGACCTGTCATGGTTTCTTCTGGCTCGAGGTTGGGTCTATAATTTTAAAATACCTGTAGAGTGCTAAGGCCGCTGTGCCTGGTTCTGTGCTCATGACACTCACAGGAACCATAGGGGTGGGTGCAGTGTCACTCCTCCGTTTCACAGATGAAGACACGACAGCCGAGAGGTTTACTAATCTGTCCAAGTTCACACAATTAGCAATGGGGCCGGGGGCGGGGTGTATACCTCCGATCCTGACAGCCCGGCCTCAGAGCCTACACGCTTATCACACGGCACTGACAAACATAATGCGCTGCATGAGAACAAACAATTCTGTTAAGAATAAGATGAGCAATTCTGGGCAAAGCTTTAGAAGCCAAAGTGATGAGCAGGTTTACTCAGGAGTGGGGGGAAGAGGTTTCAGAACCAACTAGAGAGGAAGACAAACACCCAGGTGAAACTTAACTCTGCAGCTCTTAGGGACGTCAGGAGTGACACAGAAAGAAAAGAAAGCAGGAGAAAGGAGCCAGCAGCCCAAGAGCTTACACAACAAGAATACTGTTGGGATGCGACTGCATCAGCCCCAGAGATGGTGTTTCAAATGGCACCCGCCATAGTCCCAGAGTGTCAACATGACTAGTTCATGTTCATTGTCCATGTCACTGAACAACCAAATACAGACGCCACATGTAAAGGGGACGCTAAGGTCAAGCAGATCAGTCCACAGCTTCCTCCTTCCATCGAGAGCCCCCGATATCTCTCCAAGCTACCCTAAGCCAATTTTACAACAGGGAGACAAGGGCCGTTTTTCATAGAAAGGCTCAAATACATTTTCCTGCTGAGAAAACACGGGGACAGCATGGCTCAGCGTGCGGTGTACGCTGTCCTCTAGTTGACCACACATTACAGGCTGCCTTCGCCAGGGCGCTAAGCTGCACTTGGAAGCACAGCCTGCTGCCTTGCCGCGGTCCTTCGGGGACTCTGCCGGGTCCCTCCCTGTGACCACGACAAAGTCAGGAAGCTCCAGTCCTGGGAAAGCAGAGCCTTTTGAAACCAGCACCCTGTTCCTTTTCCAAAGACAGCAAGAAAAGCAGGAATAATTGTCAAACAAGCAGTCAAATGTCTCTTGCATTTATAGATATAAAGCTGGAGGGAGGAGACGTTTGATTCTCACCAGGCAGGATATTAGAATAAGATGCATATTGTTTCCTTTCCACTATTCAAGTTCTGTCTCTGGTTAAAATGCAACTCCCCACAAAGCAGTATCTGTCACTCCTGAGCGAACTGAACAAGTTATAAATCAGGCATTGCCTTCTTGTGTACAATGAGGCGAGTGCATGAAAAAGAGATGGAGGGGCCCTCTCTTCACGAGTATTATTAGAACTACAAAGGAACAGATGAAGGTGTGCTGCTAATTCGGCATAAAAACAGACGTGAGTATCTGTTAGCTTATTAAAGCATATGCCTGAAGAAGCTGCTTTCTCATGCTTGCAGTACACACTGAGTTATGGGTTGCAGTGCTGTACACAATGTATCATGTGACAAGAAGACTCATGTTTCATGACATTAGAACTGTGATTTTACACCTTTCCTGACATCACAGTGATCAAGCCGATGGGAGTGCTGAGAGGAGACCCACAGCGTTAAGTGAGCACGGTGATGAGAAGAGCAGACGCATCAATATGTGTGAGAAGATTTTGGCCACGGGAAGCCAGACGCTGAACACGCGAATGCATCCTTCCTCTCCATGCCCCTCCCGTCCCGGTGCCCGCCGCATCCACCGTGTTCCGATGGTTCAAGTGCGCGATGGGCCAGGCCACCGATAGGCTCCTGATATAGACATGTTTGTCTACACTGATGAGAGTGGACGCTAAAGACAAATAAGCATTCCAATTTTCCTACTCTACAAAAAACTAACTGGAATCAAAATCCATCATTAATTCTTTTGCAAACAAAGGCCACCTAGTTAGATATGCTTGCCAAAGGCAGGTGGGACAATGCCTGGCATGGAGCCTGTGGGTCGTGGCTCTGCCCACCCCAGCCTGAAACCTTGGGCTGGACCACTGACATCTGGAAGACTCCTTCAACCTGGGTGATGACTCAGGGCATCAAACACCTACTGTGCTGTAAGGATTAAAGAGACAAGTACATAGTAAAATATTAATGCATGGTGGCTATAATTATTATTTCATTATTTACTCTTGGTTTCTCTTCTAATAATTTATATTTAAGAGAACTTTACACAACGACTATGGATAATCAAACATGCATATGTTAATCTTAAAGGTGATCAGTATTTGAGGAACATAAATACAGCCATGCTGTGTTTTTAAAACAGCAAGCTATGCCACAAAAAGAAATGGAGTTAGTGGGAGTGATCTTTCAACGTGACACACGGTTAGCCGGAGATTTTCGGTTCCCTAAACTCTTGGTGTGAGTCACTCCCAACACCATTTCCGTACATATTCCTAGATTTTGGACCCTCTCTTACTGTACCTATTGTTCACCTTGTCACTGCTACATGGAAGTGTGCTGCGAGGCGTCCCAAGTCAATCCAATTTCATCTAGGTATTTATTACGAGTGATAATTAAACTAAAATTAAAGTAAGTACACTGTGGTTTAAAAGCCATTGATGTACTAAAGTTCTTTGTCTAAAATTTCTAGTGATAGATAGATAGATAGATGATAGATACAGATGATAGATATACATA